GCCCGGCTCGAGTCCGCCCGGCACGCGCGACCAGGCGCACAACTGGGGGCGCGTCTGCAGACCTCCCTCGTCCTCGCAGCGCCCGGCGCCCCCGCCGAGCTTTCTCCTGCTTCTGCGAACTTGTGCCGGCGCCGCCGGCCCCAGGCCGGGGCGTCGTTGGCTGACTTCCTGGTCCTCTGCCTCCGCCCCCGTGACGCGCCCTGGCCTCCAGGGACGTACCCGCGCGGTTGACTTTGCTACCCGTCAAAGCGGGGCGCGCCTTGCTTTTTTAGGGTAGGCACTGTTGAGTCAGAGGCGGACCGGGGCGGATGTGGCTGGCCAGGAGCAGAGGCAGCCACTCACCCGACTGTGTCTTGTGGTCTCGTTTGTCCCCTACCCGGCACTTTTGGACCAGGCACCTCCCTAGCCTCCTGCCTGGTCGCCCTGCCACCATCTGGTTGTTTCCAAAACACACCAAGCTCGGGTCTTGCTCCTCGTCCTTTGCACTGGCTGTTCTGGGGCTGGAAACTTCCTTCCCCAAATCTACTTTTCCACCCCTCATCCCCACGCCCAAATGTCACCCCCTCAGAGTCATGCTTTGGACTTGTTTATTTCTTTAGGGCTCTGGTCCCTATATTTGTGACTACTGTGTGTTTACTGTGGCTCTCCATCAGACTGGGTGTTCCCAAGGGTGAGCACTGTGCCCTGTTCCTCGAATTTGATCTTACAGAAGAGGAAACTAAGATTCCAGAGGGGCAGCTACTGCCTAGAGTCCCTAGTGGTAGCAGAGTTGGGTCTCGAACCCAGGTCTGACCACAGCCCACCCACACCTGCCCAGACCCTTCTTGTTCTTGTGCCCAACCTATCACCCCCAGCCAGGTGGCCCATGGCCTTATCAGAGGCTGCCAGGGCCTGGGCTCTCAGCGGGACCCAGATTAGCCAGGGCCCAGCATCTGCCAAGCACCACGAGCCCAAGGCCTAGAGGGACCTTTCTGATTCTACTTATGTCTGGAACCCTCCCCTCCATCCTGTCCCAGAGGGGTCTCTCTAACCCCAGGATCACACCACTCCCCTCCCCATGGACTGCCCTCCACCCAGTCCATTCGTCCTTTTGGCCTGTGGACCCCCACATTTAAGGAGGAGGCTCACCCCTCCTCACTCTGTAGCCCCAGATAGGTGGCTTCACTTCTCTGAGTCTCCACATCCTACCCTGGTCAGGTTCTGGTGAAGAGTCAGTATGATCATTTACATTACATTGTCTGTATGCAGCGGGTGCTCAGCCTGTGTCCAATGAAGACTGAATGGCCCTCCTCAATCATGTCACCTCCCCTGCTGGACAATGACCCATGGCCCTGCTGGAGCCTGGCCCATAGTCGGTATTCCAGCAAAGCCAGCTGGAAGGATGTCCTGATGACCTGCTGCCTCCCACAGGTCCAGGCTGGGCCATGCATGGTCCCTCTATGGGTGTTAGGTGGGACTGGAGCAGATGTCCTCCAGGAGGTGTCCCTGACTAAGCTCAGGCCCGGGAGCCTACCAGGCTAGGATGGGGATGGGCTCACTTTGATCCTCTACATCCAGTCTGAGACCTTGGGCCAGGTGTCTACCTCCCATGTCATGATGATGAGTGCCCCCCAGCCACGTATAACAGGCAGCAACTGGGTGGGGTCCTGCTTTATTCGAAACTGGCAAGGACCCCTCTCCTGGCTGCTCCGCACCCACTAGGGGTCAGGGGGCCAGTGGAAGCTCCGGGCTCCCCCAGCTCCAATCAAGGAGGAAGCGGGCAATGGCCCACCCCTGCCCTAACTGGTCGTCCGGCCCTGCCCCGTGCCGTCTGCCCGGATGGGCTGGGTGGGGCGGGCTCCAGTCCACTCAGCCCAACTCAGCTTCGGCTCCTTGAACTCCAAGAGGCGCCACTGTACAGGGCTTCCTGGGTGGCATGGAGGTGGTGGCCACACGATGGCCAAGATTGAGGGGTCCGGTGGCAGGTAGGGCTGTCACCCGCAGTCCGAAGGGGCCACGGGTGGCCACCAGCGTGGGGGACTCCAGGCCACCTGGTCCAGGGGGCCAGGGCCAGGCTGGGGAGGAAGGTTTTGTTGGGGCAGGTGTATGGCTTGGGCGATGAGGCCAGGCAAGGCCTGCAGAGAGGTGCCCAACGCATCCAGGCGGCTTTCAAGGGCAGCCAGGCGGGCCTCGAGCTCCTCGTGCTGGGCGTGCAGCTCGGACATGAGGTCGTACATGACATTCTGGGTCTGCCACAGACAGAGAGGGTGGGAGAGAGAGGAGAGGCCAAGTGAGAGACAGGGAGCGATGGACACACAGAGAGACAGCTGACCAGCTCCGGTTAGGTGGGGGCTCACTAAGGAGACCCAAGTGGGGGGCAACTGTGAGGGCATCCCCCAGCCCAGCTGAAGGGAATGGTGGGAGAATAGGCGAGAGAAGAGAAAGGTCTTGAATGCCAGGCTCAGGGCCAGCAGGCCAGGGGATGGTCAAGGGAGGTCCTGAGGCTGAATGGATGTGATCAGAACTCCCATGAGGGGATGAACCAGCCACATGGCCCGTTTAAGCCAGAGGGTGGTCTTGCGTGATTCTGGGACAATGCTGCCCCAGGGCACACTCGAGGGGGAGGAGGCTCAGTTGTGCTTCCCACATTAGACTGGGGAGGAGATAGGGGCCTGGGGGGAGAGGTTACCACCCCAAGGATCTGACCTGGTCACAGACTGGGGAACACGATAGGCACAATTACTGTGACAGCAGGTGGTGGGGCATCCCTGCCATCTCGACTGCTCCCCGCAACCCAGCAAGCAAAGACTGGTTCTGCCACTGTCCAGGTGGGGCCGGGAGTTGCCGGGGCAGCCAGCCAGGCAGGGACAGCCTCGGTGCAGACGCCGCTCTAGCCACCAGGTGGCGCTAGAACATCGTTCCGTGTCTGGGCCCAGCTCCGCGCAGAGCAGACCCCTAGGCGACCGCAGCTCACCGCCCGTCAGCCCAGATGGGAGGACTGAAGGGGTGGTACCCCAGCCCCGCCTCGCACCCCAACCTCTTGCTCTGTGGGAGACAGGTCATCCTTCCATACCACAGCTCCTTACCACACTGTACACTCAGCTTCTCCCTTCCAGCCTCCACGCCTTCACCTGGGCGTGCCTTCCACCTGCTACTGGTAGGCCAACCCCACTGGGGATGAACACATGCCTCTGGGCACCTCCTAGGGCCACAGATCCTCACCTCAGCCTGCCTCACAGGGCCACTCAGTCCCCAGGGCTAGAGAGTAACATCTGGTAGCATCCAGCCCTTGGATGGTTCCTTGTGGACCTCTCTGAGGTTTAATTTTTTTACATTAGAATATACATTTAATTTTTGTTGGAGAGAGACCAATTAAATCAGCAACCTTGGAAAGCATTAAAATTTAATACCGAAAAACATTTTAACCTCGTTAAGTTAAAAAAAATTAGAAACCCTATAATCCAATCCAGTGAAAGACTTACTTCAAAGAAGCCTTTGTTAAATGTCTTTTGAGAGTACATTGCCGTGATTACAAGGATTAAATAACTTAGAAATTCAAATTTGAATCATGTATATTAATGAAGGAAGTGTGATATGGAGAATCCAAAGTATAATGTCTAGTACCTCAGTTTTTCAAGGGTATTTTATATGTATTCATAGCTGTAAATCTCATCTGACATCAAATTAGTTGGCCAAGGATTTCTATATGCTCTTAAGACTATGCTCCTCCTACTCCCAACTGAATGATTCATTCGGGGTTCTAGAGTATTTTTTTCCTCTGTAGTGTTCTCTTCCAAATTAAGTTTATGTGGGTTAATATCAAATTACATTGCATTCTCTTGCTAGTTATAAGGGGGGTGAGTCCAAAATGTGATGAGTTTCAGCAGTAAAATAGAAGAATTCACATTTTCTGAAGGTAATATGAAATTTGGCTCAGATTGATTAATTGATTAGGGATGGAGCCGATTAGCAAAGTTCACACATAAACTATTTATTAAAGGTCAGGAGAGAGTTCAGGATAGTCTGACAAATATTCCGAGAGCTTGCCTAACTGGAGTTGGGTCAGTTGACACCTTCTAACGGATGAATAAATGCAGGGAATAGGTTGGGACTTGGCATTAGAACCAACAAACAGATCCATTTATAACACAAACTGATCTTACAGAACTCTTTGCAATCAACTTTAATCTCCTGAAAGATGTTTAATTGCTATACAAATAAGCTTTCTCCTGATGCTGTAATTTGAATGTCTATCCACAGCAAAAGCCGTTCGTTTTTCTCTTAAATTTTAGAGCTTGTGTGTTGATGACATTCCTAAATGTAAAAATACCACTTCATCAATTTAGCCCACTAATTACTTCTTCTTATTAAAGCGATTTTATTAGCTATTCATTAAAAAATAAAATAGCTGCCAACATTAAAAAGTAAAGATTTTACACTCAGATGTAGATTTCTAGCATCTCTCTAACCATCAAAGCCTCTGGTCACAGTGGACCTCTACAGACAGGGCCGACGTCCCCTGGTGGCTGGTCCCTGCCCACCCTGCATCCCTTGCCTGTGTCACCTGTCTGTACTATGGGCACCAGCACTGTCCCTCCCTCTGTGGCTGGAGATGGGCTCTGTCCTTTCCTGAATACCCACCATCCTCCTCTGAGGGCCAGACCAACCCCTTCTGGCCCAGGCTGCTGCCCCAACCGCGCCCAGCCCTGCTCACCTTAGCCAGATCTGCAAGCGTATTGGTCTGGTCATTCAGCTTCCCTTGCTCAATCTTCACACTCCGGAGCCTGGGGGACAGGTGGTGGACGGGGTTGAATGGAGGCTGCAGTGGGGCCATGGGTCCTTCCTCCAACCACCCCACCCAGAGGCACCCAATGAGATATGCAGTGGGGGATGAGGGGCAAGTTGGAGGTCAGCCCCCTTGCAGCCCCCTTCCCTCCTAGCATGCAGGCGGCAGTGGGGCCTGGGGGGCGGTTCAGCCACCACCCACAGTGCCCACATGCACCCACCCCCCCCCCACGGAAGAGACTTACTTCTGAGCTCTGGCAGGACCCGGCGGAGCAGAGAGAAATCACAAGGCAATTTTAATCTCAGCACAGCTGGGTGGCATGTGCCCAAACCTTCCCGCTTCCCATGTGTGCCACCCCAGGGCCAGGCTGGGACCCTGGACAGCGGAAGGGCTGCTGCCCTTGCTTGAGGAGGTCTAGCCTCTGAGGGGGCGGGGTCACCCCTCAGGGATGCACTCTCCCTCCAGCAGCGCCTACCCAGCAACTGCAGCTGCCTTCAGCCTGGCAGCTCCACTATATGCCACCCTGTGCCAAGTTCCTGGCCCCGGAGGTGGCGTTTAGTCCAGAAAACTATGCCTGCACCATTTCCCAAGGAGGAAACCAAGGCTCACAGGGGCAAAGCTAGTGCTCACTGGCATCCCAGCACCTGCCACTCAGCTTCCGCCACCTCGGCCCCCTGGACAGCAGCCTATGGGGTGTGGGGGGAGTTGGCCAGTGTGTGTCCTCACCCCTTCTCTCCATCCCTTCTGTAGCTCAACCAGCCCAGGGAGGCCGTTCCAGGTAGGACTCTCCTCCTCACTGGTCCAAACTGAACCCCTGCACGCCCACATGTGATAGATGCTCGGGGAGGCCTCTTGGGGCGCACCCATGCTGGGTGCTGCCAGGACCCCTGGGAGGACCTGGCCCTCAGTCTGGAGAAGTGGAGGTGGATACAGACACCTCCAGTCCCGGAAGTCTGGGGGTGCCCTGGAGAGGAAGCAGAGGCTTGCCAAGGAGTCATTGACATACCTTCCCCATGGAAGTCATTCTTGGCATCTCTGGAACCTTCCTGTTATGGGTTGAATGGTGTCCCCCTTCCCCTAAAAGATACATTGAAGTCCTAACCCCTAGTACTTCAGAACATGACTTTATTTGGAAATAGGGCCTTTGCAGATTTAACCAGGTTAAGATAACTGATGTCCTTATTTTTTTTAAAAAAAGGGAAATTTGGATGCAGACACACATAAGGAGAACATCGTATGAAGATGGATTGGAGCGATGCTCCTATAAGCCAGGGAGCTCCTGAGTCTGCCAAAAGCTAGGAGAGAGGCCTGAACAGATCTAATGCCTTAGAGGGAGAATGGCCCTGTTGACACCCTGATTTCAGACTTCTGGCCACCAGAATAGTGAGATCATAAATTCTGTTTTAAACCACCCAGTTTGTGGTACTTCGTTAAAGTGGCCAGTAGAAATTCATACACTGCTCAAGCCCATGCTGTGTGCCTCAATCCGTCCTCTCTGAGACCATTTCTTCCTTTTCATTGGCTGTTCATACAGTGCTCCCATCGTGGGACCTCTCCAGCTCAAGAAGATGCCGTGGCTCCCGCATACCTGTAGATGGTACTTCTGGTCTCCCTGGCACTGTGCTCATTCCCACCTCCCTACCTTTGCCCAAACTGTGGACACTCCTTGGTATGCCTACCTACCTCTCAGTTTCTCATCCAAATCTCATCTACCCTTCAAGCCCTGGCGCAAACTTGCTTGATTGCATAAGCTGTAATCGTAAGGTCACTTTTTGGTGAGGGGGTACAGGCAGACCTGAGGGTGAGTGAGACAGTGTTGCCCCAGAACAAAGGGACACAGGTGACTCCCAAAGCAGATGCTTTCTCCACAGACCTGGCTCTCCTCAACTCCTACCCTCCCACTTCCCCCAAAGAACCTTCTGGGACATCCCTTGGGGCAAGATCCAGTGCAGGGCCATGCCTGTGTGCCCCATGCCTGACACAGCAGCTGGTGCCGGAAATGTTTGTGGAGTGACCAAATGAACATACAGAGGGTGGTATTATCAACAACAATGCCAGTTCTCATTTTCAGAAAATACTGTGTGGCAGGCAGGGTCCGGTCACCCCAGCTGTGTGTAATCCATGCTCTTCTCCTGGAGAAGAGGCAAGTTGCTATTGTCTCCACTTTACAAATAAGAAAATGAAGCTTGGAGTAGTGGAGTTGCTTGCTCAGGCCCCACAGTTAGGTGACAGAGACCAGATTGGGACCCAGTGGTCAGTAAACATCTGTTGAAGGGTCAAAAAGGAAGGCCTTGGGGTCACGTGAGGAGACAAGACTAACACCTTGGCACAGTGAAGTCAAGTAAGTGGGGTGCCAGTTCCCTGCCCTGCTTTTTAGGTAATATGGAAGCAGAGGCAAGAAGCAGAGGTTTGGGGTGCCATGTGTGCCTGAGTGCTTGCTCCGTGCCAGGGACTATGCCAGGCATTTCCACACATGATTCCATTTAGATCACCCCACAGTCCTGTGAAGCAGGGACTGTAATCATGAAAAAGTAACCCAATTATAACAGTAAACATAATAAACGCAAATGGACTAAACTCTCTAGCTGAAAGACAAGGATGACAAGGGGCTCAAGGAGACTTTTGGGGTGATGGATCTGTTCCTTATCTTAACTGCAGTGATAGTTTTGTGGGTGTATATCTGTTAACACTGATCAAATTGTACCCTCTAAAGAGCTGCTTTTGACTGTATGCCAATTATACCTTAATAAATCTGTTCTTTAAAAAGAAGCAAAAGTGATTAAACAGAATTAAAAAATTAAAGTCCAGCTGGCTGAGCTTTCTTTCCCATGGCTGGTCTCTCCATGTCCATACTCCTTTACCCTCTGGTGCCCCAGGAGTTGGGCCACCCCAGCCACACGCTGGGATCTCCCCTGAACAGCTGCCCTGCTCTATGGATCATACCAAGGTCCTCTGTGCTGCCTCTAGCTCTGTTTCCTAGGGCTGACTTCGTTGTCTTCCTGTTGTACTAGTTCAGATCCTAACACTGTTTACCTCACTTTCCGATTCATCAGCCCGTGAGTCTGGCCTGGGAGGTCTTGGGGCAGGGATCTATCTGGCTCACCTAGGGCAGCCAAATTGAGAAAGGGGTTTTCCAGGATGTAAGAGATGGGAATGTATTGGCTCATTCTGAAAAATGCCTAAAAACATATTTTTTTCTATTTTAAATCAGGTACCATCTGGCTTAGCTATAATTTATATTTGAGTGCTTGATCCCACAGCATTCGGAGCTGTTTAAATTCTAGACTGGGCACTGTCCCATTCATCCTATATGTGGCCACTAAGCATTGAAATGTGGATGGTCTGAATAAAAACAGGCTGTAAGTGTAAAATACACACCAGGCTTCAAAGATTTGGTACAAAAAAGATTTTCTAAGATATCCTGTTAATTATTTTATATTAATCATATATTAAAATAATATTTTTGATATATTAGAGTAAATTAATATATTAAAATTAATTTCACTTATTTCTTTTCACTTTTTTTTAATGTGACTACTAGGAAAATTTTAATTATATACGTGGCTCACATGATACTTCTAGTGGACAGTGATTGGCATTATGGTCTATAGGCCAAATCTGGACAGCTGCTTCTTTTGGAAAATGACATTAGAGCATAGTCACACCTATTCATCTTTGCTGTCTTCCTGCTTTAACAGCAGAGTTCAGTAGAGAGTGACAGATACTTTTTGGCCCACAAAGCCTGAAATAATTAATATCTGGTCCTTTACAGAAAAAGTTTGCCAGCTCTGGCTGCACACTGGACTTACCTGAGGAACTTAAACTTGAACTCAGGCTGCACCCTAGATGCTACTGTAACTGGTGCTGGGCATGGCCCATGGGGTTTTAAAAAGTGCAGCCCCCCCCACCCCCACCCCCAGTGACCTCAATGAGCAGCCAAGGACGGGGACCACTTGATTTAATAATTCTCAGGACAAAAGGACAACAGAGGAAATTAAGTCACTTCTAATTACCCAACATGATCACATGAATCAGGCCACAAATTTAATTTTGAGCTTCCTGGAAGCCAATGCAAAAAGGGAACATTACTTCAATGTCCAAGGGGAAACTCATTTTGGCTATTCCAGAGAATAAAATATGCTCCTTGCCACTTATGTTGGGTGGTTTGCATGATTTGCCAGAGGTGATTGTCTTGGACAAGTGCTGGGCCCATCACCTGCCTCCCTCTGTCCACCCCACCATTCCACTCAGCACAGAAGCTGCAAGCCACCACCAACTGACCACCCAGCATGGGAATGGCCATGAAGAGGCCATGATGAGCTGCCTGGCCTGGTCTGTGGCCTCCTCCCAGCAGGGGCCATGGCTGCCTCCACGCCAGGCGGACACAGAAACGCGAGCGGGAAAGGTGCTGGACTTACTGATGGATGGCTTGGAGGAACTTACGCTGGTGTTTCTGAACCCGGGCGTGGTCTGGCTTCTTCACCAGCCTGGTATGTTTGTAGATGAGCCACGTCTCCCTGAGAACGTTAGCAGCGGCGTTTTTTACCTGAAGCCAGAGAAAGAACAGTTCCTTAGGGTGGGCACAAAACCACAGAAGGCTCTGAACACTTCTGGAAACCTCCAGAAACTCCTGAATATGCCCCCTGGGGTCCTGAGACTGTAAGGCAGGGCCGTTTTCACATGTCCACATCTGTGCTGTGTGTGTAAGTGTGTTTCTGCCTAATACACATCACTCACCATGGGCCAGACCCTTTCTATATACCTTGCAAATGTTAACTCAGGAACTCTACACACACTGGTATTTCTCTTATTTTAGACATGGGGAAACAGAGGCACAGAGAGGCTGACCTGCTGAGGTCACACAGCTTGTAAGTTCCACCTGGCTGCCTGGTCACAGAACCCCTGTCTCTTGCTGAATGGCTCATGGCTGGGCTGCCACTCAATACAGAAGTGGACACCTGTGGCCATCGCCATGTCTTATGCATGGCTCATGAATGTCCACATGGTGGCATAGCCCAGGGCAGTATGGGCACGCATAGGCAGCACAGTGGCCCACGGGCACATGAGCATCCTGACATGGGTAGAAGTCAGGTGAAGAGGGTCTGCCTTTGACGATCAGGAAGCAAGGTGGCTGTGATGGGGGCTGGTGTCCTTACCCGCTTGGTGAGCTGAGTGTCCATCATGAAATTGTGCACGTGTTTCTCTGCCTTGGTGAGTTCCAATTTCCGGGCCACCACGGCGACCACGAGCGCTGTGCAGCCGGCCCCCTGCATTAGAGGGCAAGGGGTCACATCAGGGTCCACCTCCTATGAGTCCTGGGTTGTAAGTAGGACACCCTCCCTCCTCCAGGAAGCCTGCCTGATTGCTTCCTAACCTTTACCCTCCACGCCCACAGGGTGGGCATATCCTACCTGCTGAGTTCATTGACTGCCAACCCCACTTGCTTAATATACATCAAACATCCAGGGAGCCTGTGCCACAGATTAGTTCATTTGATCCCCAACATCCCCAGGAGGTAGGGCCACTCATCCCCATTGGGCAGAGGGGGAAAGTGAGGCTCGGGGATAGGAAAGGGGACAAGAAATAGGTGGGATCTGCATGAACATGTGGGACTGATGCCCATGGAGGTGGGAGGATTTGGAAGCATTTCCATCAAGGTTTTGGGGTCTGGATGATGAGGGCAGAGACCTAGCTGACATGTTGCTGACCAGTAAGGAGGATTCAGCTGGACGGTCAGAAGGGTGGCAAGAAAGAAGGGTCAGGCCAGCTGTCTGCGGTAGGGTACTTGCAGGAAGGAAGAGGCAAAGTATAGGTTCCAGGATGTGGGGGAGTAAAGGGCAGGGACGTCTCCCTAATGATGGGCTCCCTGCTCTTAGCAACTGCCCTCCCCAGTATGCCCTGAGTGGCAGCCAGTCCCCTGGCTAGGGAAGGAGGCCAGAGAGGACTTGCTTGTCCACATGTGGGCTGCTTGAGAGACAGAAAGGCAGGAGTGAGGACCCAAGGTGGAGGGCAAGGCTGAGAGGTAGGGACGGGGGGAGTGGGCAGCAAAAAGTGACACAGGAGGAGGGAGGGGAGAGGGAGGTTCTGTCAGTGAGAATTAGGAGCCAGGGACCCCAGGACATCCTGGTGTCATCAGCTGCAGGAGTGGCTGGGAAGCAGGTGGCGGGGGCCAGTGAGGGGGGCTGTAAGGCTCTCTCTGGCAACTCTCCTGTCCGCTGCTTCCTCCTGCGGCTGCTGCCTGTAGGATGGAAGGAAGGAAGAGATCCAGGCTTGGCCCCTGGGGGCCAAGGTAGTGGCTAGTTTTTCTTACTGATGGAAGGAAACATTTATGGGAAGGGTGGGCAATGGCTGGGGACACTGTTGGACCAGCTGGGGTGGGGTGGATGCAAAGTTGCCCCCTGAGGAAACCCCATCATGTATTCCTGGCTAGGATGAAGGTCTTGGGAGGACTTGAAAGTTCATGTTCAAAAAAACCCTGTCAACCAGGGCCAAGAAACAGACTACCTCCGTGTGGAATACTATGCAGCCTGGAAAAGGATTGGCCAATGACTCTGCACAACAGCACAGATGCCACGTTCAGCAAAAGACATGAAATTCAGAGGAGGCCATGCTGGGATGCCTTGAAGTTCAAGAATGAGCAAATATGTGCTTTATAAGTGTCTGGAAGGGGGTGAGTCCATGGGCAGTGACTGGGTGGGGACACACTTGGGCAACGATGAGGGATGGGACAACAGAAGAATTAGAAACGGAAAGTGGGACTACAGTTAATAATTGGGTGTTGAATTTTGCTAAGAGGGTAGATTTTAAGTGTTATCACAACAGAAAGGAAGCGGTAACTAGCTGGGCTGATGGATACGTTAATTACCCAGATTGTGGTGATTGTTTCACAATGTTTACGTACATCACATCATCAAGTTGCACACCTTAAATATGAGTAATTTTTAACTGTCAATTATACCTCAACAAAGCTGGAAAAAATTTTTTAAATAAAAACATTTTTTTCAAAAGAAGAAGAAGAAAAAAAAACAAAAAACAGAGAGTGGCTAAAAAAGACCAAGGTATGACTTCATGTGATACCAGGCTGTGTGGTGACAGCAAACAGCAAGACACATCCCTGGGTGTAAACACTCCTGCACGTCCCAGGGTTGAGGGCAGGGAGTGAGCTGCAGGCTAAGCACAGAAGCAGTTTTCTGGAAGGAGGTTTATCCAGGAGAAGAGAACTTGGCTTTTCTGTTTTGCTGTGGGTTTTCTGGGTTTAAAGCCATCATCTTATCTGAGTGTTTTTCTTTATTCATTTGTAAAGTTCATTTGCTGGGGGTGGGGACAGGAGGAGTGGACTGTGGCCAATCTTACTAGTTTTTTCCCCTTCTATTCTTGCAAAATAACATAAGCAAATATGCAGAATGCCTTTTAACAAAGAGGGGCCGTGACAGCTTGGCCAGGAGACGGTCATGGACCCCCAGGTGGTATCCAAATAGGAGGGGACAAGAGATAAAGAGGGTAGAGAGCCATAGACCTCAGGAGAGGGTGACAATGGAGGATGGTCTACCTGCAGTGAAGGGGGCTGGGCTGAGCCCCAGAAAGATAGTCCCTCCCTCTGCAGAAGGGAAACCATGGTGGGCACGGCATCGTACTTTTGCAAGAACAAGCATATCTCTCTGCCAAGAGAAGGAAGGACCCACTTCAGGAAGTGGCCTGGGGTGGACCCTGGTGGGGAAATCAGGTTGGTTTCTTTAGGCCTGTGGGTGTTCACTGATGTTTTTCACAAATGAACGTGTTACTCGGGGGTTGGGGAGAGGAGTTCCCTACCATGCATCAAACAATTCATAGCAATCCAAAACACAGAAAAGCATTTGTGGAGGAGATAAAAGAAGCTTAAAAAGGAAGAAGGTTCCAGAAGAAAGGGATGGGCAGGGAACCTAATGATCGAATCAGGGTAAAGAGAAGGCACCAGAGGTCAAAGTTTGCTCACACAAGCACACGGACTTGAGAAGGCTTTAGTGAAGATGAGTTGCTGCCTGGGCCCAAGGAGTCACACGAGATAAACTTCACATGCAAGGGGTTCCGTGGGGTGCTAAAGACACCCTGGTAGTCAGGCAAGGATGCAGAATTGGCCTATGATGGCTGGCTCAGAGGCCACTGATGGGGTACCTGAGGCATTCATGGTTCTAGGGACTTCATATAAATGAACAGACTCAGTCCTTGCAACGAGCACAGAAGTGGGCACTGGTTATAGCTGGGGAAACTGAGGCACAGAAGCATCAAGGCACATTCACATTCAAGGGCCGTGAACTAAGCAGGCTGCGGAGCATAAAGGGGCAAAGATGCCACTTGGTTCAGAGTAGACCACAGCACCTGGCCCGGCAGGCACAGCAGGCGCTGCTTATCTCAGGCTGGAAGAGCCCTAGAGGAGATGTCCCAGGAAACCTGAAGGTGCGGATTCCACGTCACATCTGAGGGAAAGAACAGGGTGGCAGAGGGGTGGGCTGACACAGGGAGGAACTCTGAGCAGGTGCAACTAGGGATGGGGTGAGCTCCTCATCAGTGGGGAGTGTGCAAGGGCCCTTGCTCTTACCATAATGCCAGTGAGCAGGCACACGCCCTTCCCGCAGTAGGTATGGGGCACCATGTCGCCGTAACCGATGGAGAGGAAGGTGATGGAGATGAGCCACATGGCCCCCAGGAAGTTGCTAGTCACTTCCTGCTTGTCGTGGTACCTGGGGGGAGCCAGGGAGGGCCAAGTCAGTCCACTCTGGTCCCTCTTCCTTCATCATACCCCCTAGGGCAGCGCCAGGAAGACAGGGCCCTGGGTCCCCCTAGCTGCATGAAGGGCCTTGCAGGAAGTTGCTCATTCTGGGGGCTCAGTGTCCAAGGCGCTGCTGTAGGGCGGGGTGGATGAATGGTTAGCGCCTGGGGCAGCCCCATGGTCCTCCTGAAGATACCCACACCCTCCTCCCCAGCATCCCTTCCAACCTTCTACTTTCGCCTGACCCCCAAGCTGCTGGTTATGGGGCAGAGAAGGGTCCAGGTGAGGGTGCGTCCACATGTGTCCACACATGTGCACAAGATCCCCGTCCCAAAGACAGACACACAGACAGATGCGAACATGGGTGGCCAGGGGCACCAGAAGCGGCAGGAAGTAGAGGTGAGGATTCAGGTCAGATACCAGGAAGAACTTCCCCAGCCAGCAAGGCTGAGAGGAGGGAGGAGGATTCAACAGGGAGACAGGAGACTGGGGGACCACACCCTGGGACTTGGGAGTATAAGGGAAGTCAATACCTAGAGGGCAGTACCAGTGGCCCCAACCTCAGGCCTGGAGTTCTTCTGGGGGTCATGAGGGATGGGGCAGCTTGCTTGACCCTGGGGAGAGGCCTGGGGCTCAACTTGTGTTATTCAAGGGGACAGATCTCCAAGGCCTTGCAAAGGATGTGATTTTTGTCCCGATCACAGCTGGTTCTACCTATGGTCAGCCCAGGCTGGGGGGCTGAGGGATTACTTCTCTGAGTCTGGGGCTGGCTTGATGTTCTGCTCCAGCCCGGCCCCTTCCTTCCGCAAAGCCCCTCCAACTCAGGGAGGTCAGGGAGCCTTTTCCAGCTAATCCCCTCCCTCCTAGGCTGCAGGGGCAGGGCAGGGGAGCTGGGAGGGAGGGCTGTTTCAGGCAGACAGCACTGGGATCAGGGGCTCAAGATGGGGAAGAGATGGAAACCCAAAACATGAGAAGGAGGGATGGAGGCCTTCCCAGCAGGTTTGGGATTTGGGCATCCCTTCCCTACCGGAAGGTCAGGTGTCATTCCAGGCTGTCTGCTGGATGAGGGGGACCAGGGACTGAACCCTATCTTTCATTGAGGCACCTGAGCCCCAAGCTGCACCAGCCTCCACCTCTCAGAGGATCAGGGCCCCCCACCCAGGAGGCAGGAGGAGAGGGGAACCCACCAGCCACGGGCGGGGAGGCTTCAGGCCTGGCTGGAGCTATGGTGGGTGCTGCAGGACCACCCATAACCAGGGAGTGGGGGACATGCAGGAGGTGGGGTGGGACAGAGCCACAGGGGCAGAGGAGGAAGGCGAGGGGGCATCAAGCAGTGTCACAGGGCTCAGAATTTAGGATTGGCTGCCCCCCCCCGGCCCTGCCTCATTCCCCACCCTCACCCGGCACCCCTGCAACAACCCGGCCTGGACCTCAGGGGTGCCTTGACAAAGGGCACCCTCTCCCAGTTCCCAAGCTCCAGTCCTGAGATCTGTGGGAGCTGGCATGGGGGCACATCAGAGGTCCGAGGAGCCCCTGCATGATCCTCAGACAGTAAGCCCTGGTAACAGATCTCCCTCACCCCCACGAGCCCCACATCAGTCTGAGGCAGCGGCCGTGGAGGGGGAGTCTGAAGGGGTGAGGACTGGGGTTCTGGGGGTGAGTTCAGCCCAGGGACCTCCCAGGAAGCCCAGTCCCAGCACCACCTACCACAGCCCCTCCAGGGCCTTCCCCAGCTAGGCACGAGGCAGGAGAGACCTCCCTCCCAGACAAGCAGTCCAGTGGGACTCCTCCCTCTCCTGGAACTGAGATTGGGCCCTCAGGGACGCCCTTCTGCTCCCAAAGCCTCAGTTTCCTCATCTATAAGTTGGGTTGATGGCCCTCCACCTTCCAGGGCTATTCAGAACAAGCCCTGTACGGGGGTCTTAAAAGCTGGGCCGGTTTTCATTCACCCCAGACCCACTTAACTCTCAGGAGGAGCTGTTCAAGCCTCCTGGGGCCAGCTGCCCCAACAAGGCACCAGAGCTAAGTTCTTTTCCTCCCCCTCCCCACTTTGGAGACAAGGACCCCAGGGATGCCATGGGGATTTGGCCTGAGAGTGGCCTGCCTCCCTGCTGGCCCGGGCTCAACCCAAGACCCACCTGCCTGGCTGCACAGGGACAGGCTCTCCCCACAGCCCCGTGGGCTCACGGCTGGTCCCGGCCCCCCGCCTCACTTCCCCGTTCCCTCCCCTGGTGGCAGCTGATCTTAAATTCCTGGCGGGCAGGACAGCTGGCAGCTCTGTGCACACAGCTCGGCTGAGAGTAGGACTCACATGTTTTCCCTACAGTCCAGTGGGGCGGGCAGAGGGGGAGAAGGAGAGTAGGTTAAATTGTGGGGGAAACAGGTGGTTGGTGGGGGGCATCCCTGTTCCTGCTGCCTCCACCACCCTGGGCCAGAGGTTAGAGGTCCAGCCCATGGAGGGGCCCCCCTGGGGGAAAGGGAGGGGAGATACGGATGGGGTCCTAGAGGGGTGTGGGTCGGGGTAGGGGCTGGGGGTAACTGGGGACACAGGGCTAGAGTCCCAGGGAGGAGGGAGTTGCACATGAGAGTCACTGAGGCCAGGAACTTGGCAGAGGGGCAGTCACCAGGGTCAGGGGACGTGAGGACAGAGTGATGGCTGAGGGAATCCCGGGGTCACTAAAGTCATGGGTGGGTATGAGGGTCATGGGGGTCAGGGGTCAGGGGGTCAGGAGCGCACCTCTCGCAGACCCGCACGGTCCAGGCGGCGATGATCCAGGAGGAGATGCTGAAGACAAGAAGCACGGTGCCCGGGCAGATGGTCATGAGTGTCTTCATGACGAAGCGTGTGTTGAAGGTAATCTTGTTGAGGGCACCGATGCTGCGGCTGGAGGCGTCGGTGAAGATCTTGCTGTGCAGCAGCATGACGCGGCCCAGCAGGTAGAGACGCAGGAACATGGGCACGGACAGCAGCACGTCCACATCGGCCTCAGCCGCCGATGGCGCGTAGGTGAAGGCCAGCCGCGCCGTCCACGTGAAGCGGTAGTGGCCGGGCACTGGGTGGATGGCACACACGGCCAGTTCCAAGGAGATGAGGAAAACGCGCTCGCAGGTCATTGCGATGCGCCAGTCATCTGCCCCGTTATCCACCATGAACAGCTGCAGAGGTCAGGCAGGCGGGTGGCGTGGGTCTCAGACACGTGGTTAGGCCCGGGAGTGAGATCCCCGCCCCAAACCCCATCCGTTTTTTCAAGACACATGGCCTCAGAGGTAAAACTCCCTAGTTCTCAGCGTCAGCCACAATTCAAACTAAACGTGGCACAGGTGTTTCCCCAAAAGTCACAGCGTTGCCAATGACATAACCATCCCATTCCTATGATTATAGGCACAAGGGATGAAAACAGTTGTTCAAGCACATCCTTATGCCCACATCATCCCAGCAGCACTGTTCACAGTCACCCAAAGTGGAAAGAACCCAAATGTCCATCAATGGATAAATGGATGAATAAAATGTGGTCCCTCTATACAGTGGAACATCACTCAGCCATAAACAGGAGTTCTGACACATGCTACAGCGGGGATGAACCTTGAAAACATTATGCTAAGTGAAAGAAGACAGTCACAGAGGCCACCAGCCAGGGTCAAGGGGCCAACGCTGCCACGCCAGAGGGCCTGGAAGGTGGAGGAGCACTGAGCCAAAGGGGGTCATTCTCCCACCCTCAAATCTAATGGACCTTGCCTGGCCAGGTCTGAGACCTGCTTAGGACCTGTCACCCCTTACTTCTTTCATCTTTCTCCCTTTTGGAACAGGAATGTCTATCCTATGCTTGTCCTACCACGTTTTTTTGGAAGCACACAACTTGTCTGGTTCACAGCTGGAGGGGAATTTTGTCTCAGGAGGAATCATACCTCGAATCTCACCCATATCTGATTTAGATAATATTGATTGCTTGATTGATTTTATTGACATATTTGATTTACAATGTTGTGTTAGCTTCTGGAATACAGCACAGTGATTCAGTTATACATATATATTTTTGCATATTCTTTTTCATTATAGGTTTTTACAAGCTACTGGATATAGTTCCCTGTGCTATATAATAGGTCCTTGTTGTTTACCTATTTTATATATAGTAGTGTATATCTGCTAATCTCAAATCCTAATTTATCCCTCCCCACTCCCTTTCCCTTTGGTAACCGTAAGTTTTTTTCCTACCTCTGTGAGTTTCTTTCTATTTTGTAAGTTCATTAGTGTCATTTTTTTTAGATTGCAGATGTAAGTAATATCATATGATATTTGTCTTTCTCTGACTTCACCTAGTATGATATCTCTAGGTCCATCCATGTTGCTGCAAATGACAAATTTTCATCCTTTTTCATGGCTGAGTAATAGCCCATTGTATGCATATGTGTGTTATTTTTCATTTATTTCTTTTCTGTTTTGTTTTAATTTAAAAATTAAAAAAAAATTGGGGGGGAGGTAATTAGGTTTATTTATTTATTTATTTAAGAGAAGGTACTGGGGATTGAACCCAGGACCTCATGTATGCTAAGCATGTGCTCTGCCATTTGAGCTATACCCTCCCCTCTACCACAACTTCTTTATCCAGTGATTTAGATGAAATTTAAATGACCTGGACTTAGAGTTGATGCTGGAATAGGTTAAGACTTTGGGAGCTGTTGGGATGGGACGAATGCATTCTGCATGGGAGAAGGACATGGATTGAGGAAGTGCGCCGGGGGCAGAGCGTTATGGACTGAACTGTATCCTCTCAAAATTCATCTGTTGAACAGCCCTAGCCCCTAATATGACTGTATGTGGACACAGGGCCTTTAAAGTGGTAATTAAGGTTACACGAGGTCATAAGAATGGGGACCAGTGTTCTTATAAGAGGAAGAGACACTAGGGATGCGTGTGCACACACCAAAGGCCATGTGAGGACTTAGGGAGAACACGGCCATCTGTAAGCCAAGAAGAGAGGCCTCAGGAGAAACCAACCCTGCCAGCCTCTTACCTTGGACTTCAGGAGAATTGGGAAAGAATACATTTCTGTTGTTTAAGTCACTCAGTTGTGGTATGACACAGTATTTCATTCTTCTTTTGTTTGGCTGAATAATAATAATGGATGGACCAAGTTTTAGTTATCATCAGTTGATGGATGTTTGGGTTATTTCCACGTTTTGGCGATTGTGAATAATGCTGCTATGAACATACGTGTATAAGTTTTTGCGTGGATGTAGGTTTTGGCTTCCCTGGGATGTGAAACTAGGAGTGGATCGCTGGGTCAGATGGTAACTCATGTTTAACTGTTAGAGGAACTGCCAGAATGTTGTCCCCATCTGTACCTTCAGAACTGCTTCCTTCTAGTTCAGGGGTCACTGTCCTTCTCCCCCTACTCCCAGCCAGATGGAGGACCCCTCCAGTGTGCCAGACCTTGGGTGTCTCCTTGTAAGCCCACACACAGTGCAACACAGGTAGGATTTTCGTACACCTGTCTTCTGCCAGATTATAGAGATAAAGGCTCAAAGGCCAGAGTCAGGAGCCAGATCTGACACCTTCTGGTGTTCCCAGGCCCTGGTGCCAATCTGCTGTGGTAACGTCTGTCTGATAAGCCCTGAGCTGGTCTTGATTAACCCCTGAAATAGGAGAACAAACTCCCTGGCACGTGATCAATCATTCAAAAAGAAGAAGCCCGGTGTCACAAACACTGGACTCCATGGCTGCAAAAACGACCCATGTGCACCAGAACTAGCCCCCACCTCCTGCTCCCTCACTGTCTTCTTTACCAAATAATCAAATGAAAATTAAAATAAAGACTTGCGTTACATGGAAATTTAGAGTCATCTAAACAGTGTGTCTCTGTGGAGATCTCTTTTGTTTTTCCTATAAAGAGGCTACTGGTCCTCTTAGTTTTCAAGGGCTGGGGTCTCAGATGGCTGGTGTGAGGGGCTCTGAGGCGTGGGGAGGAGAGCTGCCCCAATCCCACCTGGCACTGACCTGGATCTCCCGGGCATGGTAGAGGACGACCAGGCCCAGCAGGATGACGGTGGAGAGGCTGATGAGGCATTTGAGTGCAAAGGAGTATAGGGACTCCTGGGCAGAGAGAACAGAGGGCAGGACAGACGCTGGGGGTGGGGGGCGGGCAGCCCTCCAGACCCCCCACCTGGTTGTTTCACGAAGGAAGTGATACTCCTGCCCTTACTCCTTCGGCCCGGGCTGACGGTAAGGTGGGCCCAGCCCTTCAGTTTATAAGGCCTGGCCTCACCTGGGTATAGCACTTCACAGTTTATAAGTCCTGGCCTCTTGAAGGCCCAGCATGCCACAATTTATAAGGGCTGGCCTCACGTGGGCACAGCACTGCACAGTTTATAAAGCCTGGCCTCCTCTGGCCTTGACACTTCACAGTTTACAGGCTAATATGGTTCTGATCTCACTCTAGGCTTGTAGTCCAGCTCTTTAAAGGGGGAAAGCTCTTTTCCGCTCCTCAGCACAGCCTTTCTCTGGGGCTCCCTCGTCCTGGGCCTGACCTGGGAGGCAGTCCCCTCCCTGCCTTCAGCCAAGACGCAGCCCCTTGGTGCAGGGCAGAAGGAATGGGCTGGAGCCATCTGCCCCCACCTGCAGCCTCCCTGTCATACCCAGGGTGTGGACACAGCAGGAGGTTCAAGGCTCCCCGTCTTCCCACCTTCAGGGACCCCCCCAGCATCCCCTACCCACTTCTCAGGGCCAACGTAGCCCCCAACCCCATGCCCAAGGGGCTGCGGGGAGCCAGGTGGGCCCAGCAGGGCCTCCCCTGGGTGACCAGGGAAGGGCCATGCATACCTTGGTGTAGACCCCCCAGGACAGCTCTGTCTCCGTCACCATGACAACGATGCCGAACATGCCAAAGATGAGGGCGTAGTCGCTGAGGCGCTTCCGCTTCTCGAAGAGTGCCCGCCGGTGGCCCAGGCGGTGACCTACACTTGGGGGCTTCCTTGAGGCCCTCTGCCTGCCTGCCTCGTCTTCCTCTTCATCTTCCTCCTCCTCCTGGTCCTGGGGCTGCCCCCGGGGGCTGCTGGGTGAGGGCTGGGTTGGCTCACTCTTGGCCACCACCACCTGGATGCCTGGGCCATTCGGAGGCTGCGGGGGGTGGCCGGCCTCAGGGTCCAGAGGGTCTCGGCCCAGGGCACCCAGCCCGCCACCCAGCGGCCGTCCCCCGCAGCCACGGTGGTTGTGGCTGTTCATGACTATGTGGGCGCCGGGGTTGGGCTTGCTGCCGGCCGCCCGGGGCCCGGCATGGCTCAGCGACTGGGCTCCCTCGCTGACCTGCAGGTACGTGGGGAACATAGTCATGTCAGGGCCTTGCCAACTAACCAGAGGGCTAGGGACACCCCCCACCAAAAACATTCTGAGGCTGGAGAGGCCATGATCCCACTGCAGCTAATATGTGGCTTGGCCATCCTAGAAATATTCAAGTTGGCCTATGTTCCCCTCCTCTGCTCAAAACCTTCCCAGGCCTCTCCACTGCCACTGCACAGAAACTCAACTCCTCATTGTGGCTGGAAGCCTCTGTGATCTGGCTCCCAGCCACCTTATCCTTCTCACTTTCCCCAGAGTTACTCCCTTTCAGCCACACCGGCCTCTTCATTACCAGACTGCGACAAGCTTGGTCCTGCCTCAGGGCCTTTGCACCTGCTGAGCCCTCTGTCTGGAACACTCTCCTGCCAGACCTGTGCCCACTGACTTTCTGTGTCTCCAAATACCCAGAACAATGCTGAGCACACAGGTGACACACAGTAAACACTTCTGAATGCCTCAAGATGGAATCTGCTGGCTGATTTGCCTGGGAAGACTAGAGACCATGTAAGTGAGCAATCAGGAGGTGGTTCTGATCCAGGCTTGTCTCCTTCTAACCTTCAGGCTCTTGGACAAGTTAATTTCACTCTAGTGAGCCTCCAGTTCCTCCCACAGAGTTGTCCAGAGGCCTGAACACACTTACACAGTCACAGAGTGTAGCGAGGGACATATTAGGGGCCGTGGCTGTGGCTATGAGACCCTCAGCTCCCTCAGTGATCTCCAAACAGATTCTAGGACCAAAGCAGCAATCCAGGATTGTACTCTAAGATCTCAGAATTGATTCTACAGGGCCTTGGGAGACATGCTCAGCCCGGTCCTGTAATATCGGGCCAGATCCAAGTTTTCCCACAGAGGAAACCGGCTACTGAGGAACAGACTGTGATCTGCATCCTCAGATTCTGCCCCTGCACAGGGCAATGTCCTGTGGCATCACATGCAAAAGCAAGGACCTTGAAGACAGTGACATACACATGCTGCCTGCAGTTCAATCTCCTGGGTCCCCAATTGCCAGACCCCCCACTCCACCCCAGCCCACTACCTCTCCTCCCCCTTTGCATGTACCCTCTTCACACAGATTTTCTCTTTAATCCTCACAAACTCCCAAGCAGGGGGTCCTGGGATTTGGGCAGTTTTGCCAATGGGGAAACTGAGGCACCATGTGGTGAAGGGGCCATCTCCTTACAAGATAGCTTCTGGACCAGGCTACCTTGTGACATTCTCTCAACAAGCCAGGTGGCAGTGGGCTTTGGGCCAAGCGTTGTCCCCTTTGAAGAGGCCAGGCAGGCAAGTACTGGAGGCCCAGGAATGGTGGCTGTGTGCACAGACAGGACACCTCCCTGGCCCTGAAGCCATATTCCTGGGGGTGACAGACTCAGAAAATGTCACTTCAGGACAAGTCAAGATGAGCCATGCTGCCAGGCGGGACATGGGTGACCTTGGCCAGGGCACCACTTACATGCATTGCAGGACCACCTGTGCCCTGGTCTGGCACCCTCCAGACAGGATCTGTCCTACTCACTATATGTCCCCAGATGCTGGTGCCAGCACACAGTAGGGACACAAGAAATATGAGTCTTAGAACATGTCCCACTCCCATCCATCACACCAACCAAGCCGTGGCTACCTGTGACCTGAAACTTCACAGTTTATAAGAGTTGGCCTTACGCAGGTCCAGAACTTCAGTTTATATGGGCTGGTCTCCTGTAGGCCCAGCACTTCATAGTTTATATGGGCTGGCCTCCTGCAGGCCTAGTACATCACAATTTACAAGGGCTGGTCCCCTGTAGGCCCAGCACTTCAGTTTACATGGCTGGTCTCCTGCAGGCTCAGCACTTCAGAGTTTATCTGGGCTGGTCTCCTGTAAGCCCAGCACTTCACAGTTCATATGAGCTGATCCCCTGCAGGCCCAGTACATCGCAGTTGATAAGGCTGACCTTGGCCCTGATCTCTCTCTTCATCCTCACAAACACTCAGGTGCCACTCTCCTCCTGGGCTAGAGCCCCTGCCTGCCCCTTTAAAGGGCTGTCAGCGCTAGGCGGGGCTGAGAGCTGACCCCCAGGACACACACAGCAGCCCCAGACCCTGCCCTTGCCCAGGAGACAAGGACACCCCAGGCACCTCTCCTGCCTTCCCTCTGGAAAGTGCAGAAGGTCCCCGCCCAGGGCTTGGGGAGCATGGGCAGGAGAGGCGGTGGCCTGGCAGACAGGACTGGGAGGGGTGGGGGTGCTGCAAACGACCTTCTGAAATGCACGGATGAAGATGCAATTTGGGGATGTGACTCAGCCACCCAACACACAGGCCAGATTCGGCCACATGTCCGCCATGCTCCTCCTTGCCTGGCAGCCACATCCTAAGGTGCCCGGGCAGGGAGGAGGCAGAGGGGACGGACACATAGACAGGCGGCGGCAGGTGGCTTCCGGGAAGGCAGAGATGTGGAGGGCCTTCCTAAAACCCATGATGTTAATGTGTACCTAGCACTTATTGCAGGCCAAGCCCTTTATCAGAATTGTCACATTTAATCCCTACTGCCACTCAGCGAGGTAGGTGGCATTCTTACTCCCACTTTACAGATGGGAGACAAGGTTCAGAGAGATTCAGCAAGTTGCCCAAAGTCACGCAGCCAGGAAGGGCAGGGACTAAGTGTAGTCTGGGGGTGGGGAGGTGGTAATGAGATCTGGCCAGGTCCCTCTTGATGAGCAGCCATTTGGAAAGGGAGCCAGCCTGGCCCTGCCCTTGAGGGATCATAAAGCTCAGGACACAGGCATGGTGGGTGTCTGACCCCTCCCATGACATCATAGGAAAGGGAAGGACAGAGTGGTCTGCAGGAGAGTGCAGACAGATTCCACAGGAGAATGGGGCAACCCATTTCTAAAGGCTGGGTGGGACCAGAGGGCCCTGGGGACAAGAGACCTTCCCCTCCTTACTGCAATTTGGGCCTAAAGCTGGGTTGCAGGGACCCTCAGAGATTCCTAAAGAACCAGGAGCCCCTATGAAAACCCAGCCAAGGTTTAGATGTCCATGAAAGGGTGTGTTTTTCTAGGTCAGGGCCCTGGGTTCTCCAAGGAGTTCCCCTAAAAGGTAAGAAACACCCTGCATTTGGTTTTGAGTCCCTGGAATTGTCCAAATTGTCTAACATGTTTGAGACATAAGACTTCTGTTCCCTGAATGCTGGGGTAGGGGGTGAGCAGAACCCTGCCTTCTGCACCATCCTAAGAGATACTGTCAGAAACCTGTGGGCCAAGCGGGGCAGGGGGTACCCAGGAGGGCGCTTGAGGAACTGAGGAAGGTGTGCAGGCAGCAGGGAGCAAGGAGGTCGGCTCCTCCAAACTCTCCCTTTCAACAGGAAGAGAAAGAAAATGGCCAGACCCCAAAGAGTGAACCCTCTTTCAAATGGTGGGTTGATTGTAGTGGCTTTCTAAGAGGCACCTTTGGGCATCCCAGTCAGGATGGTCACTTCCCCCCCTCAGCTGCCTCTTCAGTAACAGTGTGTCTCAGTGCCCACCCAGCAGAGTCAGTAGCCAGAAGGGAGTGAGATCTCACATGGAAAATGCTTAGCACGCAGCCCAGCTACTACCTCACACCAAGCTCCGTTCTTTAGAGCTGGACCAGGAGCAGGTGCCCCCTGCCTCCAAGGCAGAGTCCCCTTGGGGTGACATGCTCATCCTACCCCTCCCAGGAATCATGGCCAGAGCAGCACATGGCAGAATCTTCCAGGATGTGTGGGTGAGCTGTGGGTTGTGTGTCCCTGTGGAGCGTGGAGAAAGACCCCAAGACACCCCCCCAGCACTCATGGGGCCCTAGTTCTGCAGGGCAGACAGGATCTATTTGCCCTCCCACTCCATGGGCTGCCAGAGAGTGGGTGCAATGAGTCGCTGGTTGACTGCTGGATCCCCTAGGCATTCCCTTCATCACCACCGATCAGGAACCTGCCAGTAGCCAGCAGGGGGCAATTAGCCTGCCCCCCCCTCCCCATGGCTGCCTCCACCAGTGCCCTCCACTGTGATCCATCTTCATCAGCATCTCTGGCTCACCCCCAGCCTCCAGCACTCATATTTGCAGCTCCACCCTTCAGGACAGTCCGGACAGTGCATTGTGCTGGGTACCCAACCTCTGTCCAGGGAGAGCTGGGGGACCCGGTTTTCCATCCCCTGCCATGCTACCCATAATGACTGGATACCAGGGCCAGTGGTGAGGGTCTCCTTCCTTCCGCTCCCAAGTCAGTCCTGGGTCACTGCCTCCACCGGGAGAGCTCCCCTCACTGTATCTATGGAGTTTGGGGACTCACTGCCCTGCGCCTGCCAAAGTGAACCCGCTACCCACTCCCTCCGAGATGGGGGTCTGTGAACCTTTACTCACTCGGGCAGTGCATATACACATTTCCCCCATCCCCGTGTACTCTAGGTTGCAGACCCCACGAAAATCCTCCTTTCTGGCTCTTGCCCCAAACCGCATCTCTCTCTGGGATGTGCCTCCCTCCCTGGGTGCCCCCTGCC